TCTCTCTCTCTCTCTCTCTCTCTCTCTCTCTCTCTCTCTCTCTCTCTGTCTCTCTGTCTCTCTGTGTCTCTGTGTTTCTCTCTCTGTCAATGTTGAGTGCCTGCCAGGCTCAATTAAGAGGACTGGAAGGCAGCGTTCTCCCACTTCAAAGTCATCTCCTCTGAGGATAGGAAAGCCAGCCAAAAAGCCTCCTTGGAGGGCTAGATTGGGACGGTGGAGAGAGGCAAAGATGGATGATGGGACGATGGGATGAGGTGGAACGAAGTGAGTGATGGATGAGATTAGATATAAGAGTGAGGACGGGAGACGGATCGAGAGGAGTAGAGGACAGAGGCAGAGGGAAGATGACTCCTGTTATAGCACATCAGCAGCACATACACACACAGACCAGAATGCATGCATGAGTACACACACTGTGAAGGCCACGAACACCAGCAGTTTTCTTATAACTTTATTTAGCGATGTCTGAGATTATTGTCAAATTCAGGTCAAATCAGTTTCATTTCTAAAGCCCAAAAAAGATGAAGAGGCCGGACCAGAAAGCCTTTACTGTACCACAAAAAAACCCACAAAAAAAATGGAAAAGAGGCCACACTCGAGATACATACAATAATGATATCTCAATTATAATCCTGTTAAAGACCATTTAGTGTTTGAATTTAAAGTCATCTAGAAAAGCCACATTTTCCACGACCCACCCAGAACTTTCGCTCGCTGTTTAATGCCGAGAGAATATGTGTGTGGAAAATTGTGATTGATGAGGGTTTGATTTGAAACAAACACACACACACACACTTACACTTCCCTAAAAGAGTGTGATTTCTCTTTAACTGCAGAGTTGAAGTGATATCATCCTTGAGGTATCACTTAATTTATCTCTTTGTGCTGTAGAGCCAGTCCTGCCACTTCTGTTTCTAAATTAAAAATGGAAGTACAGCTCTGGCTCTCATAAATTAAATGCCGGTATGGGAGCCATGCCCATGATGGCTGATAATTCACAGGGGGCTATACTTCGGTGCTTGTCTTTTGATGAGCACACACCGGCTCAAACGTAATCGGCTCAGACAGGAAGAATAAGACATAAACCTGGGCTGCAACACTTCCACCAGTGAATACAAATGTTGAGGCCGTCCTGGCCTAAAACCCTGCTTCACTTCTCCCCGTTGTTGGTATAGAAACAAGGAAACTGGCTGCCATTAGGGAGCGGAGTAAATCACTGCACATCCGATGGGCTCGGCTTCCACAGCTATTTAATTGGCAGCCCCTCTTTTAAGTGGGCTAAATTTATCTGGCCATTTACTCTTAGTAATTGGACCATTACAGAGCTTTTGTCTGCTGCTGGCGACATACAGTAACCCTGTTGAGAAGTGAAGGAGCGAGCAGAGTGTGCGTGAGGGAAAGGCACGAAGAATAAAGATGGCACGCAGATGACACAGAGCAGCTGGTGTCACTCTCTCCACACATCTGTCTCGTTTGTGTCGAACAAAAGAGAATCGGCACCGACGCCACGCACTCAAAGCTTCTGTCTCCTTCTCTTTGTGTCTGTCTGTCTTCGCGTTAGGACGTCCAACAGCAGTGCCACGCTCTCCTCGTGCGTGTCCATGGAGCCATGTGCATGTCCAGAGGAGTGCACGTTCACCGCTCTGTCCCACGCCAACTCCACCTTCTGCAAGATGGAGGGCTACCTGAGGTCCCGGCAGCTGTGCGATGTCGTACTGGTGGTGGGAGACAGGCGGATACCTGCACACAGGTAGGAGCAAAGACACCATGAAGATGTCACTCAAACATTCATAGCAAATATGGTGACGTTGAATAGATGACATCAGAGCTGCGACTAATGGTTAAATGTCTTCTATGAATCTCCTAGTTATGTTTTAGATTAATTGGTTCATTGTTTGAGCCAAAAACAATCAACAAAACAATCCAAATCAAGTTAATGTCTTTTAATCGTATGTTTTGTCTGAGCAACAATCCAAAACCTATTGCTATTCAATTAACAATGATATAAAACCGAAAAGCATCAAATCCTCACATTTAAAAAGCTTCAATGAATTAGTGTTTGCCAATTTTTGGTTGCTAATTGACTAAATGGGTTAATCATATCAAAATTGTCATTAATTGAATTTCCTAATTATTGAACTGCTGATTTTAGCAGTATACATGATCAATGTTCCTCACCAGTGTAAAACAAACCCTGTTTTATAGTAGCAGAGTGAAAGATTAGATGGCAGCTGCAATCAACAAAAACTTCTTTTTGCATCATTCGGGGAAATGAAAGCAGAAATTTAATCAGGAGTTTTCGTTTTCCAAAACATTTTTTAACAATTTGCATCGTATTATTGTGTTTATTTTTGACATTTCCCCTTCGCATGTTGCCCTATGGTGGGCACTCTGAAGAATACACACTAAATATGTTAACACACTGTCTGTATACAAGATACTGACGAGTGCAAACACACTCACACATGAATGCTGTGGCTCAGTGATAGAGCGAGTCGTCCTTCAATCAGAAGATTGCGATACTCGATCCCTGGCTCCGCTAGTCCACGTCGATGTGTCCTTGGGCAAGACACTTAACCCCAAATTAAGTGTTTAGCACTGAACACAAAGTACAGCTGAGGTTGGTGGGAATTTCATTAGATTTCACAGGTATTTGGTCATAAACCAAAGTCAAGTACATTTTATTTATATAGCCTAATACCACAAATCACATATTTGCCTCAGGGGGGGTTTACAATCTCTTCAGCATACGACGACCTCTGTCCTTAGACCCAAAGGCTGTGCCATCAGTGTTTGAATGTTGTGTGAATGTTGCATAGTCCTGATGGGCAGGTGGCACCTTACATGGTAGCCCCTGCCATCAGTGTATGAATGGGTGTGAACGGGTGCACGACATGTAGTGTTAAAGAGCTTTGAGTGGTCGGAAGACTAGAAAAGCTCTTTACAAGTCCATTTACATGAAAAATAAATCCATCTAGAGCTGTAAGAATTAATTGATTAGCTGATCAACATAGAATTAACTACAGTATGTTGATAATCAATTGTCACTTCTGAAACAAAAATGCCAAACAAAATGCAAAATGTCTGACTTTGTATTTTTGACTGTTGGTTGGCCAAAACTAGCAACTTAAAGATGTCGTTTTGGGAGTGATTTAGTGATGTCTAACTATTTGATGACATTTCATAGACAAAGCAATTAATCAATAATGAAAATAATCATACATCAAACTTTATACTGTCCTGTAATGATGGCACATTCATCACAACATCTCAACACATGCATGTACACATGTGCCGCACACACACACACACATGATGACACATGCTGCTCACACAGGATATTGTTTGTAAGTATCTTTCACATGCAACACAGTCACGCTTTTAAAAGTCCCTTTTATTTTTGTAGTCTCTCTGTATCACACATAGTCAACTGAGCCTCTGAATCATGCATCAAACACACACCCACATGCACACACACACACACATGTGCCCCTCTACGCTGCTCTGTCGCTGCTGCTTCTCCGGGCATGTGGCCACGGGTGCAGCAGCAGGGTCCATCTGCACATGGGAGACACCAGCAGAAAGCCTCCTTTTCTCTCACCGCCTTCCTCCTCTGCCTCACTTGATTTAAGTCCCCTAGGCACAGATGGTGACAAACAAAAGACCCCGCTGTATGAGAACCCAAATGGTGTATATGAAAGAGTGTGTCAGCATTTGAAGCTGCTTCTAAGTGTTCACTGTGTGTATGTGTGTGTATGTGTGTACTAGCAAGGGGGTGGGAGTGAGATGTTTGAAAGTGGGTGTTTTGTTTGCAATTGATTTATTGCATGTGTAGGATAAAAAACGCTTTTCTGGGAACAAAACATACACCCTCTTTCTCTGTTTTACAAGTACACACAAACGAGTGCACCGTGCGTGCCGAATAGGCCACTTGTACTGTGTGTAGCTGCACAGGTTTTTGTGGAGTTTGTTGCCAACAGTGCAGTTTGAGCAAAACTCAAGCTCTATATGCACTTTTTAAAAAGTAGAGCACAGCCATACTGTTTGTCTCTGGGGCAGCGCCCTATACAAATACATTATCTTGCAAAAGCTATTTTTGTACTTCCCAGTGAGCACCTCTAAGTGTGCTACCTCCACTGATTTAAGTTAATATAACTTTAGTTCAGAAACGTCTGCTTTAGGGCTGGGCGGTATGACCAAAAATGCATATCACGGTATTTTGTAAGACTGTGGCGGTTTCACGGTATATCACGCTATTTTTTTTTCCGCGTTAAAGCATTAATTAATTAACACCGAAAAGAACTGGCCAGTGAGCGGTGAACAGCCATTTGTGTGGCGTGTCTTCCGTTCCGTCACTTCCTGTTTCCTTCACCTACATTCCCCTGGGTCTTAAGCCCCTCCAAGTACAGCTTCTTATCACCCTCTATGTACCAACGTACATTTATAACAAATACCACACATATTACACGGTAATCAGCGTTGCATATGTGTCTAACCAAAATACCTTTTGTTGTTCAGTCTTTGTTCATCCTGCATCGCTCTTTTCTGTTCTTTAATGTAACGTTACTGGAGCGACAGAGCCTCTCCCACCCGTTAACGAGCTGTACCCAGCGTGCAGTTCAGCGATGAAATTTATAGATGTACAATTATTAGTGTTACAAATTGTTTATGTGTCACAAACTGTTGTGTCGTGGTGTTTTGCTCTGTTAAATAGAGTTAGTTGTGGGTTGTTAATTGTTGTTATAAAGTTATAAAGTTATAACCATGACTAGGGTTCCCTCTCAATACACTTAAGACAACTAGCTCCGACCGTAACTCTCTCAGCGGCAAACAATATATTTTGCTGCCTGTTGAAGAGCGACAGAAGTTGTTTCAGCTGTGCACCGGTATGACGGTATATGAAAAATTCATATCATATGGGAAATTAAAACCGGTATACCACCCAGCCCTAGTTTGCGTACCTCTTTGAGGTTCTACTTTGGCATTGCGGTGCTTTGAGCTGAATGCTAACATGCTCACGGTGCCAATGCTAACATGTCGATGTTGAGCAAATATAATGTTTACCGTGTTCACTATCTAAGTTTGGCATGTTAGTGTGCTAACATTTGCTGTTTAGCACTGAACAAACTTCAACAGGGAAAAACGGAACAATCTTGAGCAAAGTGTTGGACAAATAAAAAATTTGGACCGACGGCTAAATAGTAATTTCCTAGTTATACCTAGTAATTTCCCTCACCCTGAGGGAAAAGCGGAAATTTCGACCTGCTGGTGGCGTTAGAGCAAAAGTCAGGGGATCACCAAGGTCATTAGGGAACATTTTCCGGGGAACATGAATTGTCTGTACAAAAGTTCATGGCAATAGTTATTGAGATATTTCAGTCTGGGCAAAAGTGGTGACCAACAGACAAACGGACATATTGCCACCCCAACATCAGCGTGGCTAAACATGTACTGCTGTATTTTTATGTGTGGAGAAGGGTCATAGTAGTCGAGTAAGTCTCTCCTACCAGCCCTCCTGTTGTTTTCACCCTCTCTGTTTTTCCACCGCTGTGTCTCTTCACCAAGCACACTCAAACACAAACAGACACAGTGTTCAGTTTCCAGCTCGGCCTCTGTTTTCCTGCCTCCGACTCGTCTGTTTCCTGCTCTTTTAGTCTTCTCTTTGCTTTTTCCATTACGCAGTGACACACTGCCTGCTATGT